GCTGTACGTTCATGCAGGAGGGTGTGACCCAAACATGGAGACCAAGCACGCCCGTGTGACCCCAACATAAACACCAATAGACACAACATGGATATAAATAAATGCACGTGTTACCCCAACATGGATGTCAATAAACTCACATGTAACCCCGACACGAGTGCCAATAAGCACACATGTAACCCCAACATGGATGCCAATAAATGCACGTGTATCCCCAACATGGATACCAACGTAACCCAAATATGGAAGCCAGCAGGAGTGCTTGTAACCCCAACATGGATGCCAAAAGATGCACGTGTAACCCCAACATGGACGCCAGCAGGTGCGCGCGCGTAAGCTGACCTGGTCCTGGTTTTGCCGCTGCTCCACCTGCAGTCCCTGTAGCTGGGCCTCGTAGTTGCAGCACATATCACACGGTCGACCCAGCTTGTCCCTTGCGCTGCGAATCTAAAAAAAAAAAAACGTCCGTCAGTGGAACCGATTTCTCGCGCGGCGGAGAAACCCTACCTCCTCCCACAGGGGTAGATGACGTTGGAGGACCCCCTACCTCCTCCTACAGGGTAATGATGTAGGAAGAGCCCTACCTCCTCCTACAGGGGGAGATGACTAAGGAGGACCCCCTACCTCCTTCTACAGGGGAGATGTCGTAGGAGGAGCCCTAACTCCTTCTACGGGGTAGATGACGTAGGAGGAGCCCTACCTCCTCCTACAGGGGAGATGACGTAGGAGGCCCCCCCACCTCCTCCTATGGGGTAATGTCGTAGGAGGAGCCCTACCTCCTGCTGCAGCCACTCCCACTCCTTGTCGCTGACCACTCGCTTGCCAAAGTGCGGCGACTCGACGCTTTGCGCTCTCACCGCCGCCAGCAGCGTCTGACTCTGTTCCATCTCCGGCGTCAAGTCTGCAAGACAAGAGAACGCCATTCGCAGTCGGATCCGCGAAACAAGTGCACGTTCACGTCCCGCAAAACAAGCGGACATTACTCGGGGCTAGTTCCCGTGAATATATAACAGAGAATAAATAAATGGATAAATATAATATTATAATAAAATTTTTTAACAGATATTATTTTATTCTGATTTCAAAGCATTCTCCTACGAGCATTTTAGAAGTTTATTGATAAATCAATAATAATAAAATCAATAATATAATCAGAATCGGCAAGGTCTAGCATTCATTACCGGCGAGTGCTTTGTGCTGGTCGGCCGTCAACTGGTGCATGTTCATTTGTTTCTCCGGACTCCACCGGGACAAGATGGCGTCGACGTCCTGCAGCGATCGAGTCTCTAGCGACGAATCAAGGACTCCGCTGTCCGTGAGCCGACTACGCGACAAACGACAACGAAAAATACATGCCGACCACATCAAAACAATTATTATAATAATTCTTAATAATACTTAATTAACAAGAGCCGCAGAGCGTCTGGGCTCATCTGGGGTCTGTTGCTACGGTTATGAACGTACAATTTCAGTTGTGCGTAGTGACACATTTGTTAGGCGCAGATATGCAGATACTCTTCGCATGTCAGTGGAAAGCATATTTCATGGTCCTTTCAATAAAGCCATAAAAATGCTAGGTCACGGCTGAAACAAAAAAGTTTTCCAATCGCTCCGTCACACCATGTCCTCAGAAAATGTCTAAAATCTGCCCTGTGCTCATTGACCTTTGACCTGTGACCACCAATTTCGACACAGTGATGGGTTTTCCTACCATGATGCTATACATCGACTATCACGAGCCTAGGTCGAGCCGTTTAGATTTGTGCCGCAATTCTGCATTTCCTCCCTATACCTTTGGTTAAGGAGTGAATGTTCCCCCTTCTTTTACACCTCTTGACCTTTGACCTTTGACCCCCAGCTTCGACATCCCAACTCGTTTTGACGATCCCCCCCAATGTGCCGAATATCGTGACCGTACGTCAAGCGGTTAAGATTTGTGCCCAACTGTTGACAGACGGACGGACGGACAATCATGCGATTCTACAAGCTGCATCTGACTATGTCAGATGAGCTAAAAATGCTGATTCTTCTTCTAGCCATTTCATTCACATTTTCATGTTATTAGCTATCATAATTATAACGAGTTTATCATTTGCTCCATAGCGATGTAGCAAACACTCACTCTACTGTGTAGCAAACCTCCCGTTTTCATAGACGACTTGTAAGGAAAGGTCATATTTGAAGAATTGATGTTACCAAGTGATAATATTCTACGAATGAAATTGTATATCATTGATGGTCCGGTGTTGTGTGTGACGGTGGCTGGTTCTGTCAGAAAATAGTGCTGGCAATTCTTGCCTACAGGATCTCGCTTATTGTTGGCGTTAAATAATATTTCTTTATTGCACATGTAAATACTTGTTGTGAATTGTCTCGTTACACGTAATACAGTCATAAGGTATAATGATCGCAAATGGAATAGTAATCGGTGGCAATTACTGAAATTTTGCTTTTCTTATCGCATATCTTTGCTCCACTATGCTGTGTTTTCTTTATTGTTAATACTTAATACTATTACATTGTATATTTAGATGTTATTATTGCAGGCATCTATAGTTAGTAAATAACAGAAACATGCCAACACCCGAAAACTCCTGAGAAACACCCGAGGCAGGAACATGCGCTGAATATTGAACCAACATGCTTACGTATGTGGGTGTAGCTGATGACAGGTGCACTCTACAATCCCTGCATCTTTGCTGTGATGGGCTGCAAACCAATTTTGAAGCAGTAAGAGGCAGTACGACTGAGAATGTACATTTGTAGGAATTTTAGTCGAATTTTACATAATATTGTATGATATTGTAATACAGTATCAAGAAATTTTCTTATTATCTACCCCTGATAAGATCTAATACCATAGTACCTGATTGACTCGCAGTGAATTTTGTCCACATAATTATTGATCAAACTATACAAAACACACTGATTTAGATAGCTCTAGTGGTATAGCCCGCGTACAGTTGCTGCAGGGCTATAGAACATTCTATTACGAATGCTAGGGACCAACTTATTCACGGTTACTCGTGGCTATAAAACGTCTGTGGTCGGCAATTAATGCCTCTTATCCGAAGTGAATATGTCTTAAGTTATATCAGCTACTAAAATTTAACCTCTAACTATCGTTGAAATGGTGTGCTTGTGGTATTTCTTGTGAACGAACATTATTTTCTAACTTCAAATGCCCATTTTTGGTGGCGCTGCAGCAGCACCAGTCAGCGGGTTGGTCCCTAGCATTCGTAATAGAATGTTCTATAGCCCTGCAGCAACTGTACATAGGCTATAGTACTAGAGCTATGATTTCGAATATTACTGTTGCCAATAATGACTAACTATTACTATTATTAAATTATTAACTATTAACCGATTACTATTACTGATTACCTTTATCCTCTAGATGAAAATACATCAATTGGGACATTGCTCAAATTCGGTCTCAATCATTTGCAACGTACGCCCATAGTTTTACCCGGTCCCGAGTAGATTGCAGGAGTAGTGTAATGCCGTGAAACTATAACATATATATTATTAACTGTTAACCGATTAGAACTGTTCGCAACGTACGCCCGTAGTTTTACCTCGGTTCGAAGTTTATTGCAGGAGTAGTGTAATGCGTTGATAGCCCTCCCCCTTTCTCCCGTTGCGACGGCGTTTGGATTGGCGCCGGCCTCCAGTAGCAGGCGCACAATGTCCAGCCGGCCAGAGCAAGCCACGCGGTACAGGGAGGTCTGTCCGTACGAGTCTGCGGCGTTTGGATCCGCGCCGGCTTCCAGTAGCAGTCGGACAATGTCCAGCCGGCCAAATTTGGCCGCGTGGTGCAGGGAGGTCTCTCCATTCAAGTCCGCGGTGTTGGCGTCGGCGCCGTGCGAGAGCAGCATCCGCGCCATCGTCTCATCGCCCTTGCTCACCGCATTCATCAGCGTCGTCTCCCCGCGCGTCGTCTCAGTGACGTTGGGGTCGGCGCCGGCCTCCAGTAGCAGGCGCATGATGTCCAGCCGGTGCCAGAAAGCCGCGTAATGCAGGGAGGTCTTTCCATTCAAGTCCGCGGTGTTGGCATCGGCGCCGTGCGAGAGCAGCATCCGCGTCATCGCCTCATCGCTTAAACTCATCGCCTTCATCAGCGTCGTCACCCCGCACCCCGTCTCGGCGACGTTGGGGTCAGCACCGGCCTCCAATAGCAGGCGCATGATGTCCAGCCGGCCAGAGTAAGCCGCGAGGTGCAGGGAGGTCTGTCCGTACCGTGAGGAGTCCGCGGCATTGGCGTCGGCGCCGTGTGAGAGCAGCATCCGCGCCGCCGCCGCCTCGCCCTTCCACACCGCATTCATGAGCGGCGTCACTTCGTGCTTCGTCTCGGCGACGTTGGGGTCGGCTCCGTGTCGCAGCAGCAGCTCTGCCGTGTGCAGCGCGCGCGCACTCAGCGCGGCGTGGAGGGGTGTGCGTCCCCGCGCGTCTACCGCATTGAAGCGTCGCGCGCGCGACAGCAGCAGCTGCAGCAGCAGCGTGACCAACGCCGCGACGTCTATGTCCGAGTCTGGCATGCTGCACACGACGTGCAGCAGCGTGGCGCCGTCGTCGCGCGCCGCGTCGGGGTCGGCGCCGCGTAGCAGCAGCGTGCGAGCGGCAGCGACGTTTACCGCACCGCAGGCGACGTGTAGCGGCGTGTTGCCTTCGCCGTCTCGTGCATCCGCGTCCGCCCCGCTGTCAAGCAGCCAGGTGAGCGTCGCCGGCTTCACCACCAGGTGCAGCGCTGTGCGGCCGTTCCAGCGGGCTGCGTGCGGCGCCCTCTCGTGGCGCACTAGCAACTCGATGACGTCGTCGTGTCCGTACTTGCGCGCCCAGCACATCGGCGTCTGTCCGTCTGCATTGGCGGCGGTCGGGTTCACTCGATGCTCGAGCAGGAGTCGTGCGAGGTCGACGTGTCCCTGCCGACAGGCGTTGTGCAGGGGCGTGACCCCACCGCAGTCACCAATGTTGGGGTCAGCTCCACTCTCGAGGAGAGCACGTACTAGCTCGGGGCGGTCGCCCGCGCACGCATTACACAGCGCCGTCGATCCCAATCTGCCTCTCGCGTCGATGTCGATCGAGTCGCGCGCGAGAAGCAGCTCCAGGACCCGCGCGTTCCCGCCGGCTACGGCCGCGTGCAGCATCGTTCTGTCGTCACGGTAACGTGCGCGGAGGTCCGCGCCGCTGTCTAGCAGCGCGGCTGCAACATCCGCACTGGCTATTTCACAGGCGAGTGCGAGAGGCGTACGCCCGCGCTCATCCTCCACTTGCAAGGGCGCGTCATGCAGCAGCAGCAGTTTCACAATCTCCATCTTCTCTTCCGCCCTGTACTGCGAAAATGTGCAGGCAACGTGGAGAGGCGTCTCCATGCGTACGTTCACGCACGATGTTTTCGCTCCACCTCGCAGAAGTTCTAACACTTTCTGAACGTCCCCACATAAACAGGCAGCATGCAGGTCTGACATTTTTCTCCCAGCTGTAGGCACGCACTGTGCGTCTTTCTGTTGCGTGAGTGTCCAGTGTAGTCCACCTACCTAAAATGCACACTGATGTTCACGAAGGCATGCGGAGTTGATTGCGATGACAATATAGTGCATGACAAATCGAAATCAGCTTTGTTCTCTCTCCACGTATTCACATTTTCTGTAATGCAGTGTCCAACAGATCACTGACAATGGTCCTAATCAGATCAATGGTCCTAATCAGAATCAATGGTCCAACAGATCACTGACAATTTTCCTAATAGCACAAAAGCTGAAGTCCAAGGCCAGGAAGCAAATCGGAAAGGGGACAAATAAAGTGATTAAGCCTGGAGGATCGCCAAAGCATAGACACATCCAACTTAAATATGCATGGGGACCACCGCTACCCAATGCTACACCCGCTTTGTCAAGTGCAACGCGCAACTCGGTAGCTAAACCTGCGCCGAAACGTAAAGGTGGTAAGATAAAAATTAACCAGTGCATTCCTGAACTGTTTTGAACGGAATAGTTGAATAGGAGAAAGTGTAGAAAACAACTTGGTTAAAGAACTAGCAAGAAGTGGTGTATCCATATGGAATCTAATTATGAGATATTATTCATTTAGTGTAGGTGTTTAGATCTAACACCAAGTGAGACAGGACAGTGCGGTGGATGGGTAAAGGTGTTTAGTTGGTATAGGGACACCAGTTCCACGTGTCAGATAGTTACCACCTGATACTTATTTTAATTCATGTATTTAGACGCTGAAGCCTGCGTGGCTAGATAACAGTCTATGCTGCAAGTAAAAATGATAATAAAACAAGTGCTGCGGAGCGACAGCGCTCATCTAACGTCTACTGCGGTGACTCTGTGGTGGAGTGGTGGGATTCTAGTAAACCCTGTTAGTCCCAAATGTGTTCACATACACGCCGAAATTGTGCATTCCACTGGGATGGTATCAGGAACCTTCTCAAAAGAATGTTACTTAAACGATCCCAACGAAATAGTTGTTGCTACTACGTATGATGGGAGCTTCCATCTTTAATCTGAAGACGCCAGTGGCTGCTGCCAGTGCATGTGTTGGTGCAGTTTTTGCCTGCGTTAATTGGTTACAGGTGGCAGCTCTCTATTGCAATTTGCAGCCTGTAGGCTTGCGTAGGTAAATGGATGAGTGCTTACCTATTCTGTCTTGCTGTAACGTATGCCACTGTTCCTTAAATCGTATAATTTCTATGTCATTCTGTACTGTCAGTATGTTACAATACACCTTCTTTAACCAAATTTAGCTTTTGAAATTTCACTGTGACATTGTAGCCTCATACATCCAGGCATGTATAGATTCTACTAGCAAACCCGGCAGTCAAATTCTTTCTATAACAGACAGTTAACAAATCCATGTTTACCCCTCCTCTTGAGGGTCAAAAGGTTATCTGACACTTACTCTTCGCATTCAGTCCCAGAAAGTAGATTTCATGGTCGCTTTCATAATGCCATAAAAATGCTAGGTCACCGCTGAAACAAAAAAGTTTTTCATCGCTCCGTCAGACCATGTCCTCAGAAAATGTCTAAAATCTGCCCTGTGGCTCATTGACCTTTGACCTGTGACCACCAATTTCGGGCACAGTGATGGGTTTTCCTACCATGATGCTATACATCGACTATCACGAGCCTAGGTCGCGAGCCGTTTTAGATTTGTGCCGGCAATTCTGCATTTCCTCCCTATACCTTAAGTTAAGGAGTGAATGTTCCCCCTTCTTTTACACCTCTTGACCTTTGACCTTTGACCCCAGCTTCGACATCCCAACTCGTTTTGACGATGCCCCCCAATGTGCCGAATATCGTGACCGTACGTCGAGCGGTTAAGATTTGGTGCCCAACTGTTGAACAGACGGACGGGTACGGACAATCATGCGATTCTACAAGCTGCATCTGACTATGTCAGATGAGCTAAAAATGCTGATTCTTCTTCTAGCCATTTCATTCACATTTTCATGTTATTAGCTATCGGTAATTATAACGAGTTTATCATTATGCTCCATAGCGATGTAGCAAACACTCACTCTGTGTAGCAAACCTCCCGTTTTCATAGACACTTGTAAGGAAAGGTCATATTTGAAGAATTGATGTTACCAAGTTATAATATTCTATGAATGAAATTGTATATCATTGATGGTCCGGTATTGTGTGTGACGCGTGGCTGGTTCTGTCAGAAAATAGTGCTGGCAATTCTTGCCTACAGGATCTCGCTTATTGTTGGCGTTAAATAATATTTCTTTATTGCACATGTAAATACTGTTGTGAATTGTCTCGCTTAACACGTAATACAGTAATAAGGGTATAATGATCGCAAATGGATTAGTATCGGTGGCAATTACTGAAATATTTGGCTTTTCTTATCGCATATCTTTGCTCCACTATGCTGTGTTTTCTTTATTGTTATACCTTAATACTATTACATTGTATATTTAGATGTTATTATTGGGCAGCAATCTATAAGTTAGGTAAATAACAGAAACATGCCAACACCCGAAAACTTCCTTGAGAAACACCCGAGGCAGGAAACAATGCGCTGAATATTGAACCAACATGCTTACGTATGTGGTGTAGGCTGATGGACAGTGCAACTCTACAATCCCTGCATCTTTGACTGTGATTCGGGACTGCAAACCAATTTTGAAGCAGTAAGAGGGCAGATCGGACTGAGAATGTACATTTGTAGGAAATTTTAGTCGAATTTTTGCATACATACTTGTATGATATTCTATATCAGTATCAAGAGAATTTTCTTATTATCGCTACCCTTGATAAGATTCTAATACATCAGTTACCTGAATTGACTTCGCAGTGAATTTTGTCACATATTTTATGATCAAACTTATACAAAACACACTGATTTAGATTAGCTCTAGTGGTATAGCCTGCGCCTACAGTTGCTGCAGGGCTATAGAACATTCTATACGGATGCGGTAGGGATCACTTATTCACGGTTACTCGTGCTGGCCTATAAACGTCTGTGGTCTGGCAATTAATGCTCTTATCCGAAGTGCAATTATGTCTTATCATAAGTTATATCAGTACTAAAATTTAACTCAACTATCGTTGAAATGGTGTGCTTGTGGTATTCTTGTTGAACGAACATGTATTTCTAACTTCAAATGCCCATTTTTGGTGGCGCGTGCCAGCAGCACCAGTCAGCGGGTGGTCCCTAGCATTCGTAATAGAATGTTCTATAGCCCTGCAGCAACTGTACATAGGCTATAGTACTAGAGCTATGATTTCGAGTGTTACCTCGTACATATGCAGTTAGTTTGGTGCAAATACTGCAATTAGATAGGCTGCATGTAATTACCTTACTGCAATATGGACATTCACCAAAATGGATGGGTTGAAATTCTGGCGACTGTTTGTGCTAATCGGCAGCCACGCTTAAATATATAGAAAAAATTTAATAATATCATAAGAGGTACACACAAATGAAATGAGAAATAGTGATGAATAACATTTTAATATGTATATATCAATGGTATTACTGTGTTATTTACAGAACATGGGAGTTTTATACACTGTTCATGAAATTGTATGAATCATGAATAATGAATGATGATTGTAAAAATATAACTGTATATATATAATTGTTATAGTTAACTATAGGCTAAGCATACATCTTTCCAATAGTTAACACTAAATACTGATCTTCAAGAAGAGCAACATAGCAGGGACTAGACTAATGTAAATTTTTCACAAATTGTTTTTGAAAGTATTGGAGTTTGAAGTTGAGCAAAAAATCCTTAAGTTACTTTCTGTCATTATTTTTCAAAACAATTCATAAGGGGCAATCTTCACGCTCCACATAATTTAAACCAAATAGAACCAAAATAAATCAAACCAGTAATACATATATATGAATTTACCTCATACAGGCACATTTGGTGATAGGGCTGTCCACATCTTGTATCTTCACACGCTGTGTCAGGAATGGCTTTTCCAAGCTTGTATGCATAACAGATCCCACACTCGACCGTGAAGTCCTATACCAAACAAAGCCCGTAATAATCCGTATCACAAACGTACTGAGTCTAGTTGAACTAGAATGATTGTCACAGAGAGGTACTAATAATACCCCCGCTTCGTTATCGTGTTCCTCTTAATATCTGTCATTGTTAGGCTGGTACTACCTCTATACTGGTACTAGTACTCCTGCTAGTACTATAGCCGTTGCTCCGCCCCAGGCGCTAAGCTGGTACCAGCAGGCAACTCGGTTGTGCAGGTGTTACTGCGATCCCCCAGCACGCAGAAATGATCCCTATGTGGGTGCGTTATAGTGTGTGTTTCTGTTTCGCCTTATCTCTCCTTGTTAGGCCAGCAAGATGCAACTCTGTTGTGTAGGTAATAGTGGATTATAACCACATGTGGGGGCCGTTATTTATGTGTGCTCTTATGATTTTATCTGAAGGGGGGCAATCGTTTGGCAAACAGCTGGCCCACGCGGCACGACAGGGCGCGTTTCGCTGACACGGCTATTTAAACAATTTGTACCTCCTTATTTGTTGTGGCAGGAGAAGGTAGCTTCACCCCAACTAGTTTCTGTAGATTCTCAAGAACAGTATCAGATGGGTTCCTGCAACATGTCACATCTAATTATAATTTATATTATATTATATTTTATTATTATAATGTATATATATATATATATATATATGCATATATATATATGCATATAATATATGCATATAATGCATATATATTATGTGGTGTGAAGTGCAAACTAAATAAATTTCACTTATCTAAAAGCATTTCCACGTAGTACTAGTATATTCTTATCTCTATTTCGGTATACAACACGTTTTGGAAAGAACTCTATAATCCTCATCGCTATCCTTGACCGAATCCCAACTCTAATCTATAAACAACAGGCCACAAACTAAAGCAGACAAACAGCTAAGACTAGGGAACAACTGTCAACTTGTCATATACTATAGTATACGACAAATAATAGGGGACACAGAGTAAATACATGAGATCATTAACATGCTAACCTGACTATGATTTTGCGATAACGAAAACGTTTTGTAGTCATGGGGAGACACTTACCATTTTTCTGCACCACTTCTAAAACTGTCACGGAACTTTCCCACAACTGCAATGAAACAATACTAGTGTAACCTCGTACTTAGGTGAGGTAGGTAGCAGATAAGGGAACAGGGTAGAAGATGCGCAAAGACGTAAAGCAAACACGAACTAGTGAACTAAGGTACCACAAGCGACTGTATTATTTATAGCCATGATAAACAAGTACAAGACCTAGCGTACAAATGCAGCGTGGCAAGGCAGAACACAGGGACAGAGAGGTTCGGGTTCCATGTGTCTGGGTGCGGCTTGCCTTATATAGCCAGGCGATTCCTGTGCCCGCCATCCCGCAGTTAATGATGCTGCGTGTCACGTACCCCGCTCTCCGCTCTCTAAGTGACCATTCTACCTAGTCAGTCATTCGACACCTGTGACACCTGTGGCACTGCTACCAGCTGTCGCCCGCTCCACTCACTCGGCAACGTGCCTAAGTAATGAGCTCGAGGGCAGCAGCACTACAAGTTTATGATGCCCCGTGTCAGGTACCCCGCTCTCCGCTCTCTATAAGGGACCATTCTACCTAGTCAGTCATTCGACACCTGTGACACCTGTGGCACAGCTACCAGCTGTCGCCCGCTCCGCTCACTCGGCAACGTGCCTAAGTAATGAGCTCGATCGAGCACAGCAGCGCTACACTAGCAATTGATTTGAATTAGTCAGGAATATCAACTTCCGTAACTAATTTTAATGAAACCTTTAAAACTAGAAACGAGCAGTTGTCGCCAACTACATGTATCCCCCGTGATCTAGTATGAATGGAATATCTCTGTAAGGACGTAGAAGGCAGGTAAAGTTAAATAAGTCACAAAGACAAAGGTTTGTTAGACAACTGGTCTGCCTCCGATGTGCAAGTATATGGAATACACACAGGGGGGGGGGGTATGGGTGCAGTGGTGCGTTATGGTAAAGCGAAGACGCCAATCGTTTTTGGTGTGGGCGGAGTGATCGTTGCCATGGTAAGAACATTTTTGTGGAAATATTGTAGAACCTGTAACTTGTGCTGTTTTTACCCGATTGTCATGGAATTTGGCACACAGGGCCACGAAGAAAAACGCAGATATAACATGTTCTATATATATATATGTATATATATATATATA